TCCCAAAGGTAGCTGGTTTGACATAATGTATGCAGCCCATAGCAACTGTTAACAAATTAACATCTAAATTCAACATTGTATAACCACAAACTGAAACATGACTGACTTTTTTTTTTTTACTTGATTTTCAACTCCAATTACAGCTAAATCGTGTATGTGACTGTGTGTGTGTATATGTAGTAAGTAGATTGTGTCAGAAAAATCAATGGCTTTAATTTCCACTTATTTTTAGTGGAACATTTTTAGAAATGTTTCACATTGAACAAAATCCAGCAACTGATCATCATTGCTTTTGAAACAGACTACTACTTTCAAAACAGGTACAGAATCAACTTGGCTATCCTAGTCTTCTCTAGAGTTTCTGTTTTGGTAAGGACTACCTTATGGGTGACAATTTACTGAGAATGATGGAAATGTCAAGGAACAGCTTCTCCATCTAGGTCAAGGATGACAAATCTACTGATAGACACTTCTCATGTGGGAACAAAATGCTGACTGGTTGGTAGCATCATTTTTCTAAGGGAAGATAGAAATTGAAGTCTTTTGCATATCACTCCTCTCATAACAATTACCTTTGGACCACTAATGTCCTTTTATATCTAAAGAAAAACTACCATTTTGGGAAAAATTTAAAAATAATTTTTAAAGCTAAAAAGAATAGTCTTGCCCATTGTTGAGTCCTAGGGGGGAAAAATCAACCCCAATTCTGCTAAACTGAAGTAAATTCATTTGGTTTACATTCCATTTGGAAAACAACGAAAAAGCAGACTAACCAATTCTGACACAGGACTGGTTTTCAGATCAAGGGATGGGAACTCTACAAATCAAAATCTATACTGGAATAAACAGCAGACTATCAGCAAGAGTCTGATCTCTCCATGAAAATATGTCTCACAATAACTTTTCTGCTTCCTTTTATTCACTTAAAATGTAATTCTAATAGTAACCTTCAAATTTTTAAATTTCATGGGCAATGTTTTCCACTGTTTAAAAAAAAGTGCTTTTGTGCAAAGCTTCAAATCTTTTAGTTATAACTAAAATTTTAAAAAAGAGAGAGAGAGACTAAAAACAATGTCAAATCTGGCTCTAAAAATAGTACCTCCATTTCAGTCTGGCATCTGAAAAATGACGCCCACATATGCCCACACCAAAGAGAATGACAAGCTGGTAGACTTCAAGGAGACACAAAAACGTTGAACCAAACAAAACATGCTTGCTCTTGTGTTTTGCACCTTACTAATGCAGCAATGACATTCGGATACAATATTGGAAGTGAATAGGGATTTCATTCGGCTTTTTTTTTTCTGTAACATTTACTTTTTGGCCACAAGACCCTAAACACAATTTCACGGAACAAATCATGCATAGTTTGCAAGTCAAACGTTTTACAGCTACTTTCTAACTACTATTTTTGGACAATAGGTTCACATGCAGCTAATGATCCCAGAAAAGGGGCTTAATAAAGCACTCTTTTAGCTTTTCTGATCATTCCTTGGCCCAAAGTATTTAATATATCAGTAAGTAACCCCGAAGGTTATTTAATCAATATACATTTTTACTGTCATACTTGAGATCACACAATTTTTAAGGCCAGACAGAAATGTTTCTCTTTTTGCCAACTGCATGTTGCTAGCCCACAAACTCCCTTCTTAGCCTCACTGTTACTCCATTAAAACCTTGATGCTAGATCCCCATGCAAACTATTCAGGCTGTGCTGTTCAGTATGGTAGACACCAGCCACATGGGCTATTTAACTTACTTAAAATTAAATAAAATTTAAAATCCAGTTCCTCCCTCATACTAACCCCATTTTAATTGCCTAACAGCCAACGTGGCTAGTGGCTACTGTAGTGGACAGCACAGGTTATAGAGTATTTCCATCATCACAGAAAGTTCTATTAAACACTGTGGATCTAGAAGATCCCATGGGCTGTACCAGTACATAGTTTAAGCTTGCAGGGACCTGCTCTATAAGCCATGTACAACATTAAATTTAGTTATATTTTTAAAGAAAATACCTTAGAGCTTTCTGATCATTAAGCATGACTGGAACTGAAACCAATTTGCCTTTTCATCACAACTTATGCCCCAGGTCATTATACAAAAATTTTCCAAAGACAATGCTTTTTGCTAGAAAAGTTGGCTCTACTTAACATGTTAAGCATTCTCTTGCTTATGTCAAGATCATTAATAAAGGTGAAAATTCATGCTTCTTATAGATTACTATTTACACAACACTCATTGTCCTTTACACATAAGGGGGTGTGTGTGGACACCAACGTTTTGCAGTTTAAAAAATTCAGATCACACGGTTTGATAGTTTTCTTTCAATGTCTCTACTCATCCTTAAGTCGACCCTCCTTTCCTTTCCCAGAGAGGTAGATGCTAACTGAAATGAATATATAAACCTACAAAAATTCCTTAAAGTAATAGTTGAGTTAGTAAAGGGTATTCATCAACCCTGAAAAAGGTCAGAGCCAGACAGAGATGACAACAGATCTAGGAAGGAACGAGAGGACATTGCAAGGCAAAGTTCTTGTCCTGCTCTTGCTGCAGAATTACAAGCTGCCACTCACCTCTGCGGGCCTTGGGGGACTCATCTGTACAAGGAAGCCACCAGAGATTACTTTCAGCTCTAAATTTCTGTGCTTTCTAGTAGTGACTTTTCACTGATGTGCAAATATGAATTCTGGCTGCTTGTGTCACTGGACTTTCATCACATGGGGTAGATGGTTTGTTAGTGTCATTGGTAAAAGCCAGCAGAGGCCAGAGCAATGGGATTGCAAATCACATTAAAACATCGTTAGGCCTATAAAAATTCTACATGGCAGGCTGAGACATCTCTCTCTTTCTCTCTCTCTCTCTCTCTCTCACACACACACACACACACACACACACACGCACATCCTAACAAGCAAGTACACAAATAACTGCAGGCAGAATCCATTTAAACAATGTTTCTTATGTCAGTAAGAGTCACACAAAAAATTCTGATTTTGGTCGTTATTGTTAAGATAAATTGTAAGGTCAAGAATCTACCATACAGCTGATTAATTTTTCACTGCTTAGCTGCAGCTCTAGCACAGGACTGCTTTTTAGGTAAAAGTTCTGTGGACGTTTTTACTCTACAGTTTTGCACTAAGAAACACAGGACTGTATCATCACACACATTAGTGTCTATATATAACCTACTTTAACAAGTGGAACTCTATCATACTATACTACAGGTTCGGTCACTTCATACTATACACAAACGTATGCAGATATCACTCATAAAATTAGTCTGAATATGGCATAGCTTAAAATTGCAAGGGTAAAGTCCATTTGAAATGTAGCATTCTTCATACAACATTTCTGTGTGTGTGGTTTTTTTTTTTTTTCCTCCAAGAGAAATAGAAATTAGGTCAGACATGCATTACAGCAGCCTGGGAGAGTTTGAGAAATTGACACTAACCCAACAGTATATTATGTTACATAATAGAGGATAGTATTCAGCTAATATGATACCTAAATTATTAATACCAAACAAATCCTAGATTATTGTTGTATAATGCCCAATAGCTTACACAATAAAATGGCATTTTAACCTAATTTCTAGTTTGAGCTTTCAAATACATTTCCTAAAGGTCTTATTTGACAAATTTGAAAAATTTGAAAAACCAGAGCTCATAATTTTATATTGAGTTCTCATGCCAATTAACAGTGTTAGCTTTGTATTCTAGCCACTATATTTTTGTTTTATTTCACATTAATTCCATCATTTAAATATGCCTATTTTGTGCTGCTTGAAGATAACAGTTAGCATATAAGTAAATGAAACTTTCTTGATCTCACAGGGCTACTTTCTAGCCTTGCTTTTTGGAACCAGTAACACTATTTGTCTTGCCTTCACCTCCCCTCACCCTCCCCATCATTTTCATGGAATCAATGGAACATAAATAAAAACAGTTATATTTGAGTGGAGTCCTTGTCACATACCACTTGTTTCATGAATTCCACAGAATTAGAACTGTAATGCTTACAACTATTTCTGAATGTACATGTACCCAGAGATAGGAATTTATCACTTAATACTAGCAGTACATTATCCATGATCATCTATAGACCACTGCACATTTAAGAATATTTGACAGTTGATGAGGAGCTGGTCCACTTACATTGGGAATGTGAGTTGTTAGTTTACCTTACCACTTTTCTCAGTAAAAACATATCTTGAAATACAAGAGATTTTTCTCACATAGTCCCACAAGAGAAAAACTGGAGTTCTAGCTGGTTTAAATCACATGGGAAAACATCTTTCAAGAAATAATCACAGACCATCTATTAAAATGCCCATCTGGGTTTGCCATCGATTAATGACACTCATGGCCATTCCAATACACCAAAAGTGGGAGAAAAGAGAGATTCTTCCATTATCCTCCATTTACATCTTACAAAATACAAGACTTAAATACACAGAAGAGGAGCAAGTGTTGGAGGGAACAGGTAGGGGACCCCTCACCAGGAGGGTTCAGGTGTCTATGAGAGGGGCCCACCATAGCAGGTACACGATTCATTCATGCCCACGACGTCTTAATCCTAGGATTCTTCTACAAGGACTCGACAACCTGAGGTAAATCAAATTAAACCACACATACATACACACACAAATACACAATATTTACATTTTTAAATTCTCATTTTGTGAGATGGCTTGAGAAAAATTGGCATACAGGTTTCCTGTGGGATTAGGCATTTCTCATTATTTCTCGGTTTATTGCTCCCCTGTCGGGCTTTCTGTTTAATAAACATGTAGCAATCTCTAATTACAAGTGAGGAGAAATGAAGGTGCGTGACAGAACACAACACATTGGAGACATTTGTTCAAATATTTTCTCTAAAAAACGATTGTCCACTTAACTTATTTTGATCTGGGTGCCATTCGAAATGTATAAAAAGCCTCAGCAACTAAATGAAGACTGGGTTTCATTTAAAAAAAAAAAAAGTAAAGAAGCCAGCACTGCATGTCTTCACTGAATTTTTTATACATGGATTTGCAGGTTTGATTCTACTTGTATACACAGCATCTTTGTTTTAATCTACCGCATTTAGAGAAGATCACATTGTACGCACTTGTACAATTTGACATCTAAATAGAATATGTCTATCTCGTAACATGATTTTGAAAAATCATAAATTACAGTCCATTTAATACATGATTATGAGGATGCATGCAATCTTCATCAAAGCCGTTGCCATTAAAACTCAGAACAATTCTCCTGGCGTCTTGCTGAAACCTCACCTTCCGCCCTTCATGTCTGTCTTGGGGTGAATCAAGCGGCAACCCAGAGGCCAGCACTTGGCACCAAATGGTCAGTGTCGCCCCCCAACTTCTCCCTGGGATCCCATCACCAACACCTGCTCAACCCCTAAGTTGGCACCCACAAGCGACTTCCCGGTGGCCTCTTCAGCCACAGGATATCACAGTGAAGCGCTTGGAAATGCAAGACATGTTGTGGAGCACGATGCCCAGAAGGAAGACCAAGACGCAGGCCACCAAGATGACAGTGCACACCCCGGACCAGGTGGAGCTTTTCACCACGCCTCGCCGGTCCTGCTCCTCCTCCACTGCCTCGGGGGCGGCCCCGCCCTGCAGAGGCTGCTGGTCGGCTGGGATGGTCACCACGGTGACAGACTTCTGCTGGCTCCCAGGCAGCAGGCGGCAGCCCATGTCTCCGGGCAGCAGCGCGCGCTCCTTGGAGATGGGCAAGGGCAGCATGTAGCACCCATTGCTGGGAAGTTTGATGAAGACCGGGGTGTGCTCAGAAGTGTGCGGAATGGCGATGACCGCCAGGACCTCGGGGTCGTCAGGGAGCTGGGACACGGAGAAGCCCGGGGGCAGCTTGGTGATGCCGCGGCACCAGGGGCACCTCACGTCCTTCTGGCTTGTCCTCATCTGCTGGAGGCACACGGAGCAGCAGGTGTGTTTGCAATCCAGCAACTTGGGCCTTCGCCGCGGGCTGTAGTAATTGAAGCAGATCTGACATTCCAGCAAGGAGTCCTGGGAGAGCGTCTCCATGGCGGACTGCGAGCTGAAGGGCGAGGCCAAGGTGAAGGAGCTGGTCCTCGGAGGCCACCGCTCTGCGCCTTCCCGATGCCGGCAGGCTCACGGGCTTCTAGCATTCACAGACTAGCATTCACGTCTGAGGGAGACAAATAATGCAAACAGTATTAATTATTTCAAATAAGCTGAGATGTCAACCCATCCCAATTGCTCAAAAGTCTTGACACTGGGGTCAAAAGCATAAAAATTTCCCACGCATGAGGCCATAGGATTCCTGCAATGTCCAGAGGAAGGTGAATGAAAGTTGTCTTGGACAGCAAGCAAATATTTTGCTCAATGATAAAGAAATAAATATCTCCAACAGGACAATGCCTCCATATTTCGTACAGAGGGAGTCAGTTGTTTGTGTTTTGTACATTTCACCAAACCCTGGACTGTCCTTCTAAAATAGTCTCGAGAACCTCTCTTGCTTCCTCTAAGTCTGTAGCATTTCCTAGAAAGTCCATTTCTTTTCTCAGATCCTCTGACCTTCTTTTCCTGTGTCTACTTACCCTCCTTTAATTTTAATTGCCGGATTCAAACAACTTCACAAACCTAAATACAACATGTAACTAGCACGCTCAGTTTACGTAGATGGGTTAGGACTGTTCGTCCCTCATAGGTAATTAAACCAACTTCATATGCATAAGAAGCATATGAAGTCATCTTTTATCTTCCCCATCAAATCATGTGAACCAAAGTAATTTGTATCTATTGGTTTTAAAAAGAGATAAAACCAAACCAAAACAAAAAACCCCAAACAACCACAAAACCAGAAGCAGCAGTGAACCTTTAGGCAAGGAGGATCCCACAGGCCCACTCATCACAAAAGCATCACGAATTTTTTCCAGTCAGTTCTTTTTATCTCATTACTATTTAAGCTTGCACTGGGGAACATGACTAAAAGCTGGTACAGCTGACCCTTGACCCACACTGGTTTGAACTGTGCGGGTCCACTTAAATGCAGATTTTCAAAATAAATAGTCAGCCCTCCCGACTGGTGGGTTCCACATCCGCAACTAAAGGCAGATCAAAAATACAGTATGCGTGAGACGTGGAGTCCACGTACACAGAAGGTTGGCTTTTTATACTCTCAGGTTCAGCAGAGCCAAGTGGAGACTTAAGTATTTGCAGATTTTGGTATTCGCAGGCCATCCTGAAACCATTCCCCCGCAGGTACAGAAGGACGACTGGCTGTACTATTGATTCACTAATGGAAATCAGATATTATGTAGTGAAAGGCTGTCAGGGAAGACTGGCAAGCATCCCTCACCATGAAAAATACGAACAGTGCTAGCATGGGGCAGAGGCAGAGTAACTTAGTCCAACTGAACTGAGAAGTGGGAGCCCGGTCCTCTGCTGCCTCAGTGGCCTCTCAATAAAGGGTGCCCAGTTCTGTTTCCTATTGAAAGTGTTCACAAATCATGTGTCTCTGGATAGAGCCACGATGACTTTGGGAAGAACTACTCAACCACTGCTGTGAAATAACTGCTAATCCTAGAACCATACCTACACTCAGAGGTGGAGCTAATAATCAACAGAAAAACTCCTTCACATTTTTCTTAAATATGAACCTTCTTTTTTCTTCCTAACTTTCTTTGCAAAGTTAAGGAAGCATGCCCTCCCCATGATATACAATTTGTTAAAATCAAAATTAAGAATGCAGGAAAAGCAAACCAGTTTAAAGACAAAAAAGTAATCACTGATAAAAACTAGGTGACCATGAAAAGACCTACCTATTTTAAAATATTTCAGCTGTATTCAAAGCACCCAAATTAAGTTATTGAAAGTAAAATATGGTAATGTAGCATTCGGAAAGTTCATATCAGAATCAGCTACATCCCTATCCACTAATTCAAGAACTGTTTATTATCTATCATGCACAAAGGACAATGCTAAATACTGTAGGACAGTGGTCCCCAACCTTTTTGGCACCAGGGACTGGTGTGCTTGGAGACAATTTTCCATGGATGGCCGGGGGAGGGGGCAGAGCTCAGGCGGTGATGGGAGTGATGGGAGCTCACTTGCCTGCCACTTGCACCCTGCTGCCTGCGAGGGGAAGGGAGTCCTTTCCTAAGTTTCACGGAAGACAATTCACAGACCGGGGTGGGGAAGCAGAGTTCTGCGGCCCAGTCTCTAACAGGCAGTCTACAGCCTGGGAGTTGGGGACCACAGCAGCTGTAGGATATAACTCAGACCCTGAGACTACTCACAAACAATTTAAAGTTAGGTAAGAATGAATGTGAGAATATCTTGTTCATTCATTCATTTGTTCAAATTCTCATTGAATATCTACTATGTGTCAAGAATTGTGGTATTTATTTTTGTCCCTTGTAACTAAACCTTGTCACTGCCCATAAGGAAGTCCCAGCCTCGAGGTTGGACCTCTAAGTACTTCAGCAATTGTCACATCAATACACAGTGTCCCAAAGCACCTGGAGGAATCTGGGATGGTTCAGAAAAAAATCTGGATTCTGGATAGGAATTAGTCAAGTAAAATCAGGGGACAGGCTATTCAGGTTAAGAAATCAGCATGGGCAAAGGAAAAGAGGAGCGGTTACAGAATTATTTCTATACTCTAGCTGTGACACTGGCTTGAGGGACTTTTTTCTTAATACTAGAGTAACTTACAGATGTCTTCTCTAAGAGTTTTATAGTTTTAGGCCTTATGTTTAGGTCTTTGATAGAGATGTCTTTTAAAGAAATAAAACTCTCAGAGAACCTACAAGCACACTCCCCAGTCCTAGCCAGGGACAGGAGATTGCACAGGGAGGGATGAAATGAGCTTGTGCACAGTCTGGGGAGGGGGGACAGCCTCGAAGGCCAGGCCAAGGGGACTGTAGAGTGGGCAACAGGAAAATACCAGAAAGGTTAAGAGTAGGAGGATGATTTATTCAGGGTATTCTGGAAAGACCTGTTGGGAGTCCTGTGTAACACTGGTCAAGAGGTAAAGAGCTGAAGGGAACAGTGGCAATTAGGATGAACAGATGAGACCCGGGGAGAGGTCTCTGGATCATGGAGTGTGCTGTAAAAAGTAGGATGGTCGCTCAGGGGGAGGAGAATCGAGGCACGCTTCTTTTTACTTTTAGAATAGAGAAATTTGAGTGAAGAGGGGCAGAGGAGGCAAGTTGAGGTGCTGAAAGCCAGACAGCCTGGTCTGTGCCATCCAGTATGGTGACCACTAGGCACGGGTGCAGGCGGAAGTTAGTGTGCGGGGGTTGGAAAGGGGAGAGAGTGTACGGATCGCTACCGAGGGGAATGTGGGACGGCAGCAGAAATCCCCAATGTGCCAGTGAATAGCGTGGCAGTCTTCTAGTTCTATACCCAACATAATACATATTTTTTTCCTTAAAAACAAAAACACAGGGTTAATTTATGAATCTTGTTCTCCTGAGTGTTCAAGCTCATTGGCAGAAGTCAGGTGACAATAGAGACTCTTAGGAGATGGGCATGTGTATGGGGGGGAAGGTAGCAGAAACAACAAAATTAGGGAAAGGTATTAAAAAAAAAAGTACAGAGTCTTGCAATTTTATGAATTTGGAGAGACCTTTCCTTAACAATCACGCTCAGTACAAATCATTCTCAATGTAAATGCAGTCGGGGGCAAAAATGTTTCATCACATCAGTATCAAAACAGTGACCACCAGTTTCTATATTAACCCTCCTTCCATATTATTTGCCTTGCCTGCCGTATAACAATGTGGGAAGCAGCGTAGCAGAGTGGGAAGAAAAGGGGTTCTGGCCACAAAGAATCTTGGGC